CTGCGCAGCGTAACTGCACCCAATTCAAGCCTGTCACTCAGGGTATGTGCAATGTTGTGCAGCTGGCGCCACTGCTGTCATGGCACCCTGAGTGCCCACGCAGCTTCCATAACCCTAAAGCGGGCCTTGTCTGACCTTTAATACTTTTGTCTCAGTTTCTCAGCAACTAACTTTCACTTTTTCTTTTGTCATCCACCCTAACATCATATTCAACTTTTTTTTACCATTTTTCTCATATTACCTAACTGTCTTTTAATCTTATAGGTCCACTGTGCACTATTATTATTATAATTTACATAACGCCATCTTATTCTGTACCCCTGTACAATATTATAAGCAAACAAGACAAGCTATTAAAAATTTTGACAGGAACAACAGGTTGATAAGAACCCTGATAAGCATTTCTCAGCGTATTATACCTTTCACTAGTATTCACACTTTAATTTCTAGCCCTTTAGGAGGCATACAAGTTGTGACATTGTAAAGAAAAAGAGGAGATATTAGTGACTTTAGGGAAATAGAGGAATAAAAGTTATATTTATGGAGAAAATAGAGTAGAAGTACTAGGGCAGGATAGACGTGGTGGGAGAGAGCTTCTGGGGAAATTTAAAAAGGCAAAATATGTGTTATTCTTGTTAAAAGTGCTAAATAAGGAGCAATAAAGATAATGCTTCTCAACATTTAGCACTTTCCATCCAAAATAGCACCTGTTTGCCTTGATAAATTTCTCTCATTATCCATTACTGACTCGCTAGCCTAATATGTCCTTTGAACACAAAAACAAAAGCAATGTACATTTCAATGTTTGTAGTGGCAAGTAGGTTTTAGGCCTGGCTAGAAGTTTAGGACTCAAATTTTACATACAAATTTTATTGACTGTGTTATTTGCAGATTTAATGCATATCACATGCAGCTATAATTTTATTTATTTATACAGCAATAAAAAACAAACCAACCAACCCCACAGTGAAACATTAATCCGTGGCCCTACATTTTTACTAGCCCGTCATTAACCCTTGCCCTACACTAACCTTAACATTAACCCTAACCCTAATGGTAACCCTAAATCTGAGCACAATCGCTCGATTGTGCTCAACTGCAGAGATTCTCAGCTTGCCCCTAAACAGAGGTAGACCCCGAGCATTCTCTTGTGAAACAATGATTTCACTGAGCTTTGCTAGCTACCCAGAACTGATCACTGTGCTATTGGCTGGGACAGCATGTAGGAGTTGCAGCTTGAGAAGGAGATCTCCCTCCCATGCTGCAATTACACAGTAGAAAGCCCTCACAGAGCTCTGACATCAACACAAACATAAGCAGAGGGAATCCCTCTTAGTTACAGTTAGATTTAGGGTTACCATTAGGGTTAGGGTTAATGTTAAGGTTAGTGTAGGGCAAGGGTTAATGATGGGCTAGTAAAAATATAGGGCCAAGGTTAGGGTAAGTTTAGGTTAAGTGCACAGATATGGTTAGTGTAAGGGGGAGGGTTAAAATATGGTATTTCTGTTACATTTGTAAAAACCCAAGTATTTCACAAACACACTTTGTTGGTTTACAATACTCATTCATCAACAATACAAATTATTATATTCCAATTTTCTCCCAACGAAAAAGCATTCTTGAGGAAAAAAACTATATAAAACCAATTAAAGAAAAAAATTTTTGTTACTGAATGGAAAATTCATACATAGCTATAGAATAGATAGACTGACACTTTCACTCACTGCAGAAATGATAGATTCTGAATATAGTGTAGACCTAGATGATGGTGAAGTGTGTATATATATCCTTCCCCTTCTATACATGGTATGAAGGAAGTGACAGAATTAATAGTTGGGCTTCCCACCTCTTTTTCCTTCCCCATTCGATATTAGTTGTGGCTGTTTCTTCCCTAAATATTACGAACAAAATGAAATCCAGGCAATTTATAACTCATAATGCGGCAAGATCAGTAAATGTCATTAGAACGTTTTCTGTCTGCGTACATAGATGTCACTTAAAATTTAAACTTAGCCGTTTCTGCAACATTTAATACAAATTTTAAGAACTACAATCCAATAAGCAACAGGAAGACATAGTCATGCCCCTTGTTGTAATATTAGCGTATTTCTTGCAACATATGTAGCATGGTAATAAGAGCAGTGCCGGACTGCCCACTGGGATACCGGGAAATTTCCTGGTGGACCACGAAGCTGCAAGTAACTGGTGCAGCTGAATAAAATGAAATTGTAGAGATAAGAGAAGTGCTGGGACCGTTTTGCTGCGCTAGGTGAGTGACAACTCAGCCACCCCCTAGCGCAGCACTACCTTTACTGGGTCTCACTTGTTTGACGCCAAGCAGCCACTAGCATAATACACTGCCCAGCACTAAGTGACAGTCACTCTATGACCCAAGCAAAAACTGAGCTTGTTACAGACAGGGAATGTCAGTGTTGGTATCCAGGCATTCCCCTGTCTGTTACCCAGAAGTCCTCCAATCGGAGCAGGAAGAAGCCTGTGCATCACAGCAATTTAAATCACAACAGTTGTTTGTAATTTTTATTTAATTTTGTTTTATGTTAATGACCAGTCAGCGTTTTTTTTTTTCTTTGGGCTAATTTTTGGCACACATTTAACAGCTCTTTAATAACAACTTTAAGATATAGTCTGTTAAAGAATTATACTCAAGAGGCGATCAACAAGATAATTGTAAAGACCACTCAATATTACTTTACCAAGCTTATTTTAAAAACAGGTTAAGATTCTATTTTTCCCTTTGCCTTATTAACAAGTAATGTGATGATAGGTTACTATGAACAAACCTGAAAATAGTTTCTCTAATGACTTTCTTTTAAAAGTTGATTGAAATTAGGATCCTTGTGGAGAGATGTTCAGACAGGCTTGTAGAACGACATGACCAGAGATAACGTTGTTAATAAATCAGGTAATGTAGCATAAAGTAAAAATAATAAGCCAAACCAAAATGTATATAATAGATTTAGTAAAATCTTGCATGTAGTTTGTCCGCACTTACCCAAAAGTTAAAAAACGTGTATCATTTAGTTATAAATTTAATTGCTTTCACTGCATGGAAAGAACATCCAAGCTGTTAGGAGGAGATGAAGGGACTCAAACCACAAAAGGAATCAAAAGGAAATGATGGTAAAAATTTATAATAATAAAATCCAATGTACTGTTAAATAATCTCTAATGAAGGATGATGGAAAATAGAAAATTAAAAAGAAGAAAATGACAATAACTGTACCTTGTCCAGGAACGAAATGAGGCGAGTTTATCTGGGCGATGTGTTTCATCAAAGGTCAATGAAGGAAAATCACAGATCTGACAAGAGCACTTATATCACTCCATATCTAATGGACACTCAAATTAACCCTTTGCCTACAAAAGAGGCTTGCAATGCATAACAAGGGACAAAGTAAAATTAGCAATTATTGTTTTTAGTACGGAATAAGAAAAATGGCTTTGCATGTGATGATGTAAATGGCCTGTAGGTTATGGTTATTATTTTGGTGTAGAGGTCACAGAATAATAAAGATGGCTTTGGATGTGCTGATGTAATTGACATGAGGGCTACATTTAATTGTTTCCATATAGAAGTCAAACAAAGAAATGTAAATGAATTTGGCCTGTCTGATATGGTTATTTCTTCACTATAGAACAAAAAAACTTTAGATTTTTATGCTGTGCCCATGTCCCATTTTAGAGTATTTTACCAGGCTATATAACCCAAATACCCCATAAAGCCATACCATTTCTTAAAGAAGACATCCCAGGGTATTTCAAAAGGCATATTTTGAACCTTGGGATCATTTTTCCGCTAGCTTGTACCAAGTGTAGTGGTAATAAGCGTTTTTTCGGCCTTTTTGACACACAAAGTGAGTTAGCACAGTATATTTTGCAAACCTTATGTGTGTTACAACTATATACTACATATGTTGCTCAGCTATGTTGTCTGATTACAGCAATACCCCCGTATGTACCTTTGCAAGCTATATGTGGATGTTGAAGGGGCACATTTGAGACGCAGCCATTCAGTTTTTTTTTTCTAACTTTGAAGTTTTACGCTGTGTCCATGTTCCATTTTGGAGTAGTTTAGATGGTTGGTTATTGAAACTTCCACACAAACACATACTATTTATTTAAGAATACACCCTGGGGTAATTCAAAAGGCATATTTTGAACCTTAGCGTGGGATCATTTTTTCTCTAGTTTGTTCCAGGTGTAGTGGTAATGAGCATTTTAAATGTATTTTTTTACTTTTTAAAACTTTTTAACTTTTGAAACTTGTTTTTAAACTTTTTTTTTGCTTATTAATTTTTTTTAAACTTTCCTAAACTTTCTTAGGAAATAAGATTTAACATTTTTTTATAAGTATATTTTTTCTTTTTTTACCGTTAACCCCTAACCAGCAGTAAGTAGCACTAACAGTAAATTCCCCAGATTCCCATAACTCCCACCTACCCCAGCTAGCAAAATATATAATTTTTACATATTTAAACTAATTAAATTGAACCCCTAAGGGTGAAAAAATAAATAATAGTTAATCCTAAAGGGTTAAAAAAAATTAGATTACAGTATAATACTGTGATCTGTATTTTGATCACTGTAGGCAGTGATCGACTGGCAGGGAAGGGGTTAATTTTTATTTGGACTGGGTAACGGTGGTGTGGGATTTTTTTTTTATTTGTAACTTTCTAAAGCTTATTTTCAAACTTTTTTAATGTTAACCCCTAGTTAGCCGAACACCAAATCCCCCAATTCCCCACTAACTTCCCCCCACCCCAGCTAGCTAAATATATAACCTTAAAATATTTAAATGGGGGGGCGGGGCCGGACCGCCGAGCTGGAAGGCAGCATGGCAGCTCAGCTCCTAAAAATTACTAAATAAATAGCCGCAAAATGACGATTTTTAACCATACCAAGGACCACCAGCGCCTGTCCTCAGTGTACAGGGGACACTGGGTCCAGGGTGAGGCTGGCTCTCCGAGCTACAGTCCCCAGGAGGAGAGACCCTTGATGCCCTAATTGGGGCCTGTTCCGGCGGTGAGTGGGGCGGACGGCCGCTGCTCCACTATCCTGCCAAACAGACCCAACCAGAGGACGGCAACCGTGTGGATCTGGCCCTGTCCCCCCCCCTCTGGACCGGTGGGGGTGATCCCGGTCCACACCCTGGGATCCAGACCGAAACAGCGCAACCCGGGGCCAGCAACATTACCACCCAGCCTCAAACGCCTCAACTAAAATGGCGGCTGATAGAAGTGCCGAGGCCAGAGGGAGGGCATGCCTTCTTCCCAAGCCCGAAGGGAGCCATGAGACCTCCGGGAACAAGCTGGTCCGACGTCTATTATGGCAAGCAACAAGCTACCACTATAGCGACCAAGCAAAGCACCCAAAGAAAGAAAGGCTAACCACTCACAGCCACCCCTGGTGAGACCGCGCTGCCAAATAATGACCAGCCTACATCTGGACTGCAATAAACTCACAGGGGGCACCGATAATGCAGAGACTCATATGACCTACATGCGACAACGCTACTTTACCCTCTTACCGGCATTGAGCCCCAAAGCAACAGTCTCTCCACCAAGCAAAGCGGAAAGGGCGGACAACACCCACAAGGCTACAAGCGAATGGGCACAACAATGCTCCACAACCTACTGGATAATCCTGCGTCCCCACTACTACTCCTACCGGAGCAACCAGCGGAACATGACTGCAACTTTGAATACCAGCCGCAAGCATAAAACATTGTCTAAATATAAGAGACTGCCAACTTAAAGGGGGTGCTTAGTAACTCAGTCGTTTTAACCAGCTACTAGTCAGGAATATGGGGATCTGCACTTAACTAGCTAATGCTGTTGTGTCTTTATCTCGGGAGGTGGGAGGCACAGCTAGTTGATCTGTGTCCAGGGAAGCACTTGAAACTAACTGCTTAACTACTGAAACACCACATATGGTAAGGCACAATGTTGATGAATAGGCTCCATGTCATGTTAATTCGAGTTACTTGATAAATCTAGCCTGATGCAATCAACATTGACAGAACCCTATTACTTCGCCTCTGTTCACTTTTTATATGCCATAGCCTGGTCCTAGCCTGAATTTCAACAATAAGCAACTGACTAATCATTCTATCCTAGCCTGCAATAACAACCAAAATAGGGTATCTATGCCAAATACACTGTCATTGACACTGCCTCAGCACTGCCCTGCTAATCCTGTTGTATTACTTTAGGCAATCCTCTACCCTATTTCACTCTACTCTACGTTACTTTACTTGACGTTTAAAAACAAAAATATGGCAGTCTTTCTAAGGAGTGTATTACATACCATTTTGTTACCCCAAAATGCCTCCTCTTTCTATTCTGTACCCCATCACACATATGCCATAATAAAAATACAAAATTCAAAAAAATAAATAAAAAATATTTAAATGAATTAATAAATGTAACCCTAAGAGTTAAAAAAAAAATAACCCTCAAGGGTTAAAAATAAATAAGTCAAATGACAGTAAAATGTAATCCCTGTAGTCAGTGATCAATTGGCAGGGAAGAGGTTAATTTTTAATTAAAATGGGTAAAGGGGGTGGGATTTTAATTAAACTTTATTTTTATTTTTTACAGGGAGAAGATCAGGTCTGATCCGTCTCCCTGTACTTCACACAGAACCCGGAAGTGCAGGAAGGCGGAAGGTGCTTTCTCTGACAACCTGTCAGAGCGAGCACTGCTGCAGGGGCAGCGAGATCGGGTGTTCCCGGTCTGCCTCTAATACAGAGGCAGACCAGAGCACCATTAACCCCGCGATCGCCACGATCTGGGGTTAATTTTAACGCGTGACCGATAAGGTCCGTCACCCGTCGTTAAGGGTCTCCCCTGGAGACCTTTAATGCCGGGTGGTTTTAATGTATACCTATTAAACCATTTGGATTGTAAATATATATTTAAATTCTACAAATATATTTATATAATATTTTTATATAATTAAGTCATTTTATTAATTATAATCTGAGGGACATGCCCAACAACCCAGGCAGAAAGTGCAGAGAATTTGGCTTGCAAGCCCTATGTTTTACTATTTTTAAACACTAATATTTGTGTTCAGCGAAGTTTCCTCAGTATAACACTACCCCCCATGTACAGGTTTAATGGTGTTTTCAAAAGTTACGGAGTCAAATATAAGCCTTGAATTTCCTGTTTTTCACATTGAAATTTGACAGATTGGTTATGTTGCCTTTGAGACCGTATAGTAGCCCAGGAATGAGAATTATCCCCATGATGGCATATCATTTGCAAAAGTAGACAACCCAAGGTATTGCAAATGGGGTATGTCCAGACTTTCTTAGTAGCTACTTAGTCACAAACACTGGCCAAAATTAGCATTCAATTTAGTTTTTTGCATTTTATACATACAACAAATATGAATGCTAACTAAACAATATTAAATTGTTTAATATACAAATATTTTATGTGACATGAAAGCCCTGTTTCTCCTGAACAAAATGATGTATGAAAAGTGTGGGTGCACATAAAATTAAAGATGTGAATTACACCTTGTGACGAGAGCAATCTCGCCACATTGCATTGGAGAAGCCTGGTTGCTCGCCTGTTGCCTTTAGACTATGGCCCCATGTTAAAAAACATATTTTTTTCCTGCAGAAAAAGATTTATTAGTTCTTTTCTGCCTGGTGTTCGGTAGATTCAATCTACCGAACAACCGCACGAATGACTGGACCACCTGGGAGCTGGAGTGTGCCGGCATTTAGCCTCCCTGAAGCTGCGGTTAACTGCAGCTTAGTTGACGAATGCTGGGTGGCCGCCATTCGTATCATGAACACGAGGTCGCGGCCATTTTAAACATGCGAACGCACAGCGGTGTTCGACGCTTAATTCATGGAACTGAAATCGGACACAGTTTTGTTCGGGAGTTTTACCTGACTATGTTATACCCCAGATAGGAATCCCATGGAGCCCATTCGCATGAAACTGACTGTGTAAAGACTTTAGCTCCATGGCGATTGAACTGTATATGTGTGCTCTGAGCGCCATTCAGTGATAATGTGCGCTCAGATCTGAGCTATCTGGGGATATGTTGAATGTACCTGATTTGTGCAATGGCTGCACAGTTATATGTTTTTATGTGTTTTATTGTCTTGTGTTCAATGGAGTTTTGCCTCTGTCCTTGGAGATAATTGGATTACTTCACAATTATCTCCAGGATAGAAGACTCTGTGGAACTGGTTTTGGGCAGAAAAGCCATGCTTCCTTTGGTCACAAAGGACTACAATCTAGCTTTTGAACCACTGGACCAATTTGTATGATTTTGACGTACGTTTGTATTTGGAGTATGCTGATTCTGAAAATGTAAGTTTTATGTGAATGCGATGCATACTTTTCAAGTTATGAATAATGTGGAAAAATTGTATTTCTCTACTTGTTATAATTACATTACCCATTGTGTAAGGTAATTGTATCACAGGCAGAGTGGAGGATTTTGAGTGGGAGTGTCTGAGTGTATTGTATGTGTTTATTGGTTGTGTTCCAAAACCCTGTGGGTGGTACTAATGTGTATATAAGGACAATAAACCCACAGATCTGTCTGACCACTGCTTGACCCTCAACACGGAGCTCTGTCTCGTCTTTGGGGGGATTTACTGTATGCTGTTAGAGACTGATTGCCAGGAGTGTAAGCCACTTGGGTGCTTTTCCTGTTCGTCTGCTAGCAGCTATTCGTGAGGTTCCAGTTCGGGAGTCTGGAGTGCTACTTTGTATGCAGTTCAGGAGTTTGAAGCATTCCCTTGTATGAAGTTCGTGAGTTTGGAGCATTCCCTTGTATGCAGTTCGGGAGTTTGGAGCATTCCCTTGTATGCAGTTCGGGAGTTTGGTGTTCTACAGTAGCTGTGCCTGTATCTCTGAAAGGGGACGATCGCCTAAATGGTTTTAACCCCTTGTGTGCAAAACGGTCTATTACACACCTGAACAGACATTGCGCAAATACAAGGTTTTGTTTTTATCACAACTTGTACAACTGCCTCAGTCCTTAAAGGACCACTATAGGCACCCAGACAACTTCAGCTTAATGAAGTGGTCTGGGTGCCAGGTCCATCTTGGATTAACCCTTTCTGCTGTAAACATAGCAGTCTCAAAGAAACTGCTATGTTTACAAATGGGTTAATCCAGCCTCTACTAGTGGCTGTCTTCTCACAGTGAGAAGACGCCAGCATCCATAGGAAAGCATTGAGAATGCTTTCCTATGGACTCGCTGAACGCGAGCGCGACTCATGCCGTGCATGCGCATTCAGCCGATGACGGGAAAAGGAGGAGGAGAGTCTCCAGCACAGAGGGAGCTCGGCGCTGGAGAAAGGCAAGCGTTTAACCCCCTTCCTCACCCTAGAGCCCGGCGGGAGGGGGACCCAAGGACCCTATAGAGCCAGGAAAACAAGTATGTTTTATTGGCACTATAGTGGTCCTTTAAGGGGTTAAGGAGGGTTCTTGTAAATATTATGTATATGTGTATCTTCTGTTTGCCTCATATGAATATGAATGATATTAGTTCGCTTCAGCTATTATATTTCAGTTCAATCCTGTTCAAACCCTTTTCTATTGTTTATAAACTCAAGTGTCACAGTTTATACCAATTATTGCATACTAAGGTCTTTTCATTTATAGAAGTTACTGTGTTTTTCCCAATTACTGCTAATTATAACAGCACCACCGCCAGGATATGTGACAGTACAATTTGTTTTTCATATGGTGATGTCTTTGTACATTGTGTTTGTGCTTTTCTACTATAGACATTACAGGGTTGGGGTGATAAGGTACGGACTTTGTAAAATATAGCAGCCAATGAGAGTTAAATCTGCTCTGCTTTTCTCCCACTGGCTGGACAATGTTTTAGTTTAAAGTACAGCTTTTTGGTTTAGTCAACAATGACAAGCAACATCCCAATATTTTGATATTACTCCATTCAGATAAATATAGATACTGGCAAAATTTTAGCCAGTTTGGGAACTACTGATATGTACATGCAAATAAGACACACTAAGGGTTGTTTCTGAAATGTATAAATTAACTACAGCTACAAAAAGAGAATTAAAGGGACTCTTCATCCTGAGCCACCATTATTTGTATATACATTATACTGATTATACATTTAAAAATTAAAAAAATATACACAAAAAACAATAATTTTTTTTTAAACTCACACTTGAATCTCCGTTTGCTG